CTCCAAGGCAGAATGGGACAGCTGGAGAACTACAGGCCACACCTCCAAGGCAGAATGGGACAGCTGGAGAACTACAGGCCACACCTCCAAGGCAGAATGGGACAGCTGGAGGTTCTTCTCTTAGCCCATAATGGGGGAAAAAGACCTTAAGAGAGCCTTTGAAGTCTCTGTCAAGGGTTATTAACAGCTGTGGTTCTGGCAAATCCATGATTGTGAGCTGCTCTAAAAACGAACTCTATAACTATTCTTTGACATTCTATGTCAGAAGCAATTACATTATATATACATTTTTAATGCTTAACAAAAAATAAATTGTAGTCCACGGAAAAATCCATTCTGACATATGATCAGCATCCAAGAACTGAATATAAATCTGAAAACTCCAGTTGAGACTTCAAATACTTTTAAATTACTTTGAAAATTACTTCTGAAAAGGCTTGTAGTCCCATAAAGCATAATAAGAGTTGCGGTTTGGAGTAAGAGACCGTTACACTTTGGCACGCTCGGCTACTTGGCGTCTCTCCCCTCGAAGTACGCGTTGCCGGGGGGTGGGGGGTGGCGAGGACACTCACAACTCAGACTGGATGTTGTCCGTTAGGCGGAAGAGCTGCTCCTGTCCGTCCGCCTGGGTGGCCGAGAAGCGGGGCAGCAGACCCTGGGGGCCCTTACAGCAGCGCGGCTTCCTGACCCGCTGTACGCCGAGCCTGAGGGCAGATGGGAGGGGCGTCAGGACGGCCGCCATGGCGACGCCAAAGCTAACCACCGCTATAAAGTCTCTGCCGAATAGGTCTTCCTCTATCACCGTGGATGTCGCCTTTGTCATCATCATCATCATCATCATCATCATCATCATCATCATCATCACCACCACTGTAAAAATATTAAGCAAAAGGGAAATAAGCCTGGAACTTCAAGACAGCAGTTACTGACCCAAAAGGCTGGTGGTTCATGTTCCAGACCGGGTCTTTCTGCAGTACAGGGTTCCCCAGTTCCGATCCTTCAGGGCCAGTTTACAACAGTCTGCAGATTTCTCTGCTCAAAAACTCCAACTAAACCTGGTAATTAGTTGACTAAGGTGTGTTTGAGCAGGAAAATCGGCAAACTGTATTATATACTGGCCCTCCAGGACCAGAACTGGGGAACCCTGATGTAGTTCCCTTGAACAAGAGACGTGGTGTGTGTAACTCAGCAGGTTAGGAGTGATCAGAACGTCACGGGTTCAAATCCCAGGGTCAGCAGAGTGATTTCACCATTGGGCCCCAGGACAAGTCTCAACCCCCAGTTGCTCCATGTACTGGCTGAGCCTGCTGCCTTCTCCTTTGTATGCTGTTGCTAAATAAATAAAAGGTAAAGGTGCTTAACCCAAGTCACTCCAATGAAACACCCAGCTGTGCAGATGAGTGCAAACTGTGGGTCACTCTGGATGAAGGCACCAGAAGCAACAAACATCTACAAAACGCACAACTGCAAAGGACCTCAGTGAAACGACGCGAGAACCAAAACGCAGCACATCGGCAGATCAGCCAATAGACGGACCGATACGAGCGCAGAGCAAACGAGAGCTGACAAGCCGCACCGCGTTCCAGACACGGACGCCAAGAACAAAAAGGGAAGATGCAGCTTCACATCGAAACGAGCTGACATGCGAAGCACGTAAGTGGAGAACCTGCAGGCGGGAAACCAGGGAAGCCACTGGAAGGACAACAGATCACACCTGGAAGGCATTAGGAACCGGCTCATCGAGCCACGGCCACAGCACGCCAATGGCTACTCGACGTCCAGCAGTATCCCAGGAAGGCGGTGTCTCTTCCACACAAAAAGGACCCCTGGACATAGGCGTAGATTTAGGAGGAGATGGGGGACACACGCCCCCCCCAATGTTGACAAGGGGGGGGGTCATCCCCCTCAGTCTCAAACATAATGCCTGGTTTACAAAAACACATACGATTAATATATCTCCTTACATAAAGTTTTTTTTCTTACAGTTTTTATTTGGAGAAGCCCAACCCTCCGTTAAAAAGGTTTATTCTCAACTCCTGCTTCGGCAGGCAGACGCTCTCCTCCAGACCCGCGAGTAAAGAGACGATTGACACAGAGAGCGGAGAGCACAGAAGCGCACTGCGGCTTAGTGTGTGAACTTAACTCACTGAAGACCCTGTATCATAACCAGCAGTTAATCAATAAAAGGCTGTGTGAAAAGGTGGAATTTAACTCATGTCGATTAAGTTTCATAAAGGTGATCTTATTTTAGTGTGCAAACTGCAGCTAGCTTGGTTACAGTACTTAACAGCACAGCGGGACGTAGCGTTTGTGTCAGTCACGATTCTCATCCCACTGTGTTTGCTGTTACGGTGTAAGAACGAGTAAGAAGCTCGTCAGCAAATGTGGCCAGATCTGGCATTTATGGGAAACACCATAAAGTACGTTGCTCAGTTACCAGGATCTCAGAATCATTTAGTTCATAAACAGGGCTGGCAGAAAGTCCCTTTTATTACCAAGAAGAGATTCAGTAAATCTCCAGTATTTACTTCTATGGGTCACTAGGAGAAGATCTTGTAGTCGCTATTTAATGTGTGTTGTGTTTCCTTCCGGAAAGTTAGGGTGTGTTTGTGTGAGAGACATGATGCAGGAGAACGGCAGGAGCATCACAGTGGATTCTGAGGTGAGGCTATTTTTCCATAATGAATGGCCTGACATTCCTGGTGGAATCTCACAAATTGTGCATAATTTTAATAATTCCAGCATAAAAGACTTAACACTTAAACTACCACATTAGTGAAGATGAATAACAGTAAAATGGAAAGATAAATTTCACTTTATGTAACAGCAGTAGTTTACGAAAAGAAATTAACTTTATACAGCACGACTACGATTCGCCTTATAAGGTGACGTGACGTCACACCTTTGACCCTGATATACCTGCCCCCCCCCCCTGATCGTGGACATCTCTTCCACACACTCACAGACTCGTGGGGAGACCAGACACCTCTGGCCTGATTTCTGGGGCCAGACCACACAAAGGACAGACTCTTTGTGCTACACATGAAACTGAGCCAGAGGAAGTGACATTCTCTGCTTTTCCCCTTTATTTCCCCCCCATTTCCAGCTCTCCAGACCCCTCCCTACCTGTGGTTCCTCCAAAGTGTGCGGACACCATAGGGCTGTAAGGAATTATTCAGTACATTATGTCGAAGGAGAGCGGAGGGAACTTCTGTAGAACCCCACACCATCCTGGCAGGGAAACGGCCATTATGTCCCTCCCCCCCCCACACTAAGTTGTGAATGGCCATATAGATATGACAAAAACAGATATAGCCATATTGTGCAATGTGGCTGGACACCGAGATCTTCAGACAAGATGTTATTCATCAGGCAGCATCTGTATCGATGCAATGTTAATTGCAGAAAAATCAGTAATAGAATGGAATGTTAAAAAAAATAAGCTGAAGCCTGAAACGTTGAAACTCCATACGTTTCCAGTTAGCCAGTAGGCTTAGGCAAAATACCTCTGGATAATTCTCTTATTGAAATGTTCACTATCCACCCATATATATGCTTGGGCACTGATCTAGCTTGAAAGTTCAGAAAATTCGCAGTGTACCACAATCGTTCTCTTTTACATTTTTCCCAAGTGACACTCACAGTTAACCAATTAGCGGCTTGGGGCTAGCACAAAAAGGCTTATGCGCTCGACGAGCCAGAGAAACAAGCCAATCGCAGGGAGCGCCAGGGCCGAGCCAGGTCCGGGCTCCCGGTGAGGACGACCCCTGCGCCGCCAGGCTGGGATCCCCCCCCCAGCCCCCACATCTGGCTTGAGTCTCCAGCTGCCCTCCTCTGATTGGACCAGATGGCTTCCAGTCGAAGCACAAAGGCGGCACTGTGCTAAAATCCGCCTTTCCCTTTCAACCAGGGGTGGGGCACCCACAGCTGCTGCTAATCTGGGATGGGGGGGCGGGGGGGCACAGGGCACGACGAGGACAGAGAAGCGAGACCATCTTTCAGGGGTTCAACTGTAGCATTAATGCCAAACCTGAGCAGCAACAATATGAATGATCTCAGCTTCTTCTCACAGATCTTTCCTCCACTTGAAGGCATCTGCGTCATGGCCAGTCCAGAAATGAATTAAATGTGAACATCTTATGAGTGTGTGAGCTAATGTGAACCATCATGCACATTCAAGTGTTTGAGAAGAAAGAAAAAAAAGGAAAAAAGAAAAGTCCAGGTTGGGTTCAGGGTTCTGCGGGGTAACTTTCAGAGGAACCCGCACATGTGCTCGTGGGTTTCAAGACTGGGTATCAGATACAATTAATATTTATAAAACGAAGTTTTTTTTAACACAACAGGCATATTACCATGACATAAGAGACGACATTTCAAACTATCTTCTCTCTGTTTAATACGCATGGGCAAAAATCCTCGCCGTCATGTTCCCAGCAACCAATAAAAGATCCTTAACTGCGCATCTACACACGACTTGAGGCCATTTCCCTGGGTTACAATTACTAAAATGTTACCACCATTAAGGTAAACGTGTCACATGACCTCGTCGACGGGCTGGTTCCTCGAAGCAGGCCTCTTCCTGCAATTCTGCCAATGCTATATGCCTATACACCCAGAGCTCTCCCTGGGGTGGACCAGGAAGCTGTAAAGACACAATGTCCTTCCCTAGACGGCTGGGTGGAACACCAGAGTTCAACCTCAGGTCAGTATCAGCCTTGGAACGGAGCCAGTCTGACATTAATGGCTACAGCAGACTCCTGCTCGGGCAGCTTGCCTGTTGTGTCAGGGGGTGGGGGGGGGGGGATATTGAGACACACCCATGCTGTGTCAAAACAGAACGCATAAGCCACACGTTTGCCTCGTACCGCTCCAGTGATCCAGAGCTCCAGGGCTCCCTCCCGGAGGAACCTCGACAGGCGCTGACAGAATTGAAATCGCTTCATTGCCGGGCCTCTGTCTCTCTGCACCACGCCGCTGCCTGGCACGCGGCCTAGCCACGGAACGCCAAGGCGAGGGTGGGGCTGAGCAGCGCCACAGTGACGGGCTGCCAACCAAATGCGGCGTCTCTCAGCTGCCCCACCCCCCCCCAGAGGTTTCGGTCTAGCGGACCCGAAATACTTTGGCAGAACGATAAATGTAACGGAAGGCAGCCGTGCATGCTGGGAGAACGCTGAGAGTGAAACCCCCTCCCGCCATGACACTCCTCGCTTTTAGTTTTGGGATTTTTTTTGGGGGGGGGGGGGGGGGGGGGGGGGGGGGGGGGGGGGGGCTGAAGGGTAGGACAGAGGGGGCATTTCCTGCTTGGAGCTTGTTCATTCATTCGTATTCAGTTGTTCACCTGCTCATTTTGTCATTTGCAAACTTGCCGCGTGGTTGGAGGTACACAGAACTCAGCGACAGGCCAAGGGCTGTATGAAGACGCACAGTCAGAAACAGGCCGGGGGGAGGACGACTAATTCACTCCGTTGGTAGTACAGGCATTGACTTTAAGTAGCAAGATACCCCAAACATCATCAATTTGTTTATGTAGATACTGCTTACTGGGCTCCATCTGCTTGAGTAAACCAGCTAAACGTTTTCATGTTGTGCTGGTTTGGGATCAGGCGTCGTCAAAGACATGAAATGTGACCCGAGGGGAAGGTCCCCGGCATTTGGATACGCCCATGCATGCTTCTATACATCAGCAGGAGCACAAACGCGGGCCCGTATTTCCGGGTGTGTAAGGTGTGTAAGTGTCAATATGGGTGCGATGGGACACAAGCGTCTTTGGGAGTGAATATTAGTGCTTCCTCCGCACTTGTGTGTTTGTGTGTGTGCGAGGGCGTCAGCTGTAGCTTGCGGTGAGGCACGTTTCGTCCGTGACCCGTGGCTGACTTCGCGGGCACCCTGCAGCAGCCGGCTTGCTCCGGCGGCTCCTCCACAAGTCACCTCAACAAATGCCCTGTCCCCCACAGGCCTAGCTCATCATGACAAAGTCCACTTGGGGGGGTCCCCCAGTCGGGAACACCCCCTAGCCCTACCCCACCCCAAGTGAGAAGAGCCAGGGAGAGGAAAGCCTCTGGGCTCCCAGGATTTGGTAGAGGGTGTGTGGAGATGGTCATTTCACCATTGGTGGGGACCAAACCCCCAGCTCCCTGAAACACATACAGTACTCCTACAATATTGATAGGTAAATGCTCCTACCATGCATGCCATGGATGTGACCGCCGGACGGCCTCTCCTCGGCCCATGACTCAGCGGGACGGAGTCGTTTGTTTTTCAGCAGATCAAGCAAGGTCACAGGGCTGGTGACGCATGTTTTCAGGACTCCAAGAACCTTCACGCCATCGGGGCATTTCAACTTTTGCGAGTCCTTTTCGAACAAGGAGGATTTGCGGCTCGGTCAGTTCCGGTGACAGTCGCATTAAATATTTGAGAGCTAACCCGGGATATCCATGGCACGAAAGCAGATCGCAAAGCCCTACAGAAATCGATCCTGATGACACACATTTTTCTCCCCTTTGGCAGTCCGGACTGTAATGAACAGCGTCTGATCAGATCAAGTGGAAGGAGCCGCACAGGATCAGTGGACGATCGATGCTTCATACATAGCTACCTGGCTATAAAAGGCCGCTTATTGTGAAATGGTACCCGCCCGCCCTGAGCGCCGTTATATCACGTCAGCCCCGTGGGTATCCACGCGCCGCTCGGCATACGCACCCGGGTTCACCGGGGGACATTTCACATGAGCTCCAGTAGCAGAATGACTAAAAACATCCCGGCAGAAAGACGATCCAGGTGATGGAGCGGACCGGGCAGCTGTCGCGTAAGCCGATTGGTCAGCTGAGGGAGGGCGGCACACACACCGGGGCGCTTAACATCACGACACGTGACAACCGAGCCCGCGGCTCACTCAACACCACGGCGACTCTCATTACATCCAGAGGGTTCCGGTTACAGGCTCAAACTACGGGCCTCACAAGATTAGAAAGCATTAGCCAACTCTGACGATGATGATGCTGAATAACAAACAGTATCATTTGCATTATTGCAATCAACCTAGGCATGTGTACGCTGGCTTACTGTGTTTCTTTTAAGCCTTTCTGGAGGATTTAAGTTCAGGGCCCAAATTGGGGCTCAAACCAGGGAACGTAATTTTTTTTTTGTAGACAAAACTCGCTCAAACCTGTGGTTGCTCAGACTGGCCATGTCCCGCACGGTCTGGGCCGTCTCCGAGGCGAAGTCCAGTGCACCGGCCACCGGCTTGGTCACGGTACCCACCAGACCCTTCCCCAGGCCGGAGAAGAAGCCGCTGACGCCGCCCTCTGTCTTCACGCCTTCCACGGTCGAGGTGATGACGCTGGTCAGGCCTCCCAGGATGCCTGTGGGGAGGGACAGGGCGGGACAGGGAGGGACAGGCTTGGCGTCACTCAGAGTACACCGGCACCCAGCATTCACACAGAGGCGGGCAGCCTGTCACCAGAGCGGTAATGGATATCGCCGATACTACCAGCTACAGGAGGCCGGATTTCCCCTAGACAGACTGCTGAGTGCCGTGGAATTTAATGGCAGTCATGCTGGCAGAGGGAACGTTTCATTTGAAAGTAAAATGAACAAATATGGAGCATTTAACATAGAGGATTCCGTTTAAAAAAATATATAACACTGCTACAATGCCAAATATAGTAATGCATCATCAAGCTAACATAACGGCTACATACAGTTCAAACGGAGACCTTGTCTACACCACAGTGACGACTGTGAGCAGAATTCGATCTTTCATGGCGGCGAGACACACCTCCCTGGCTGTGAACTTCGACATTAAAGAGACGAGAGGAAGAGCACGGGCTTCCCACCTCAAACGGCAATGAGTCACATCACAGCGGTGTGACACCTCCAGGCTGAGGGGGAATGGGGGGGCGGGGGCTCTCTAACAAACGCTAATGTCTGCTTAGCATGAAGATAAAGAGCAAAAGCCTTCAGGACAAACGTAAAGGTGGAAAACAAGGCAGAAATTAATGGCACGATTTAACTCCAGAATTGAGCGTTTTGTCACTGGAAAGACAGCGTTAAATATCAATATCTACGGAGAATGGGTTCCCTAACTCTTTGATCAAAGGTCCGTATCAGACTTTTGATTTTTGTTCAAAGTCAGAGGTCAGGAACAATTTTCAATAACAGCATTTCATGAACTTTAATGAATTAACAATAACCTTCGATATAGACATCAATATTTAACAATAACGGGAACTTAACATAAAGACTGGTTTAACAGGAGGATTATTATGCGTTATGTGTGTGCGAAATTTGGTGGTTCTGCATTGTATTTTTATACTTCAAACCACATTAAGCCTTTTTTCATTAAACAGTCGTGCATAAGGTGCATTATCGGCTTGGTCTCGATTAACTTGCAGTTCGGTCCGCATCTGGACCACAGTCTGGACTTTGAAGGACCCTGCTTTGGACTGTTTACATCCCCATCCCAACCCCCAACAACACACACACACACACACACACACACACACACACACACACACACACACACACAGAGCTTGCGTTGTACCATGTGCCAATCCATGGATCCCCGCAACCAGATGTTCTCCGCTGGTGGCGCCATGGTAACGGATGTACTCCCTCTCACTCTGGTGTCTTGTGTCCATGGTCTTGCCCAACCCGTCTGACAGGGTTCCTGCAAACTGAGGGGAGCAGACAGTCTACTTCAGTGCTCCTCTGCTTCAAGGTCAACGAACTGGAAGCCCAGCTCCTGCTCACAATTACGACACAAAGACACGCTAAGTATGCCGAAGAATAAAGAACAGGTCTGAATGGAACTTAGAGGGCTCCAGCTGACAAGGTGAGACCTTGAGTTGACCTGCAGAATGTCTGTACAACAATGAGGCCATGGCAGATTCTCACAAAGCGAAGTTTATACGGGACTTCAAACAGACCGGCAGTCTGAATGCGGCTTCTAGACGGCTGGCGTGTTTGCGGGAAAACCACTCTGGCTCCAATAAAGACCAGTCTGGGGTCAGACAGAGCCACATTGTTATATTTGAAGGACGCCGTAGGAACTTGCCAATTAAAGCATTGTAAGAGCATTGTTGGAGGACACCTACGTAACACACTCAAACTCTTCTGTAGAGCTTCAGTCTTGGAAAAGAGTCCTTCTGGCCAGAGACTCCATGCCTAGGGCCTTTGGTCAAGCCCATTCAAGCCCTTCAATCATCTAAGTTCATTATCCCTCTGCAGTTCCCTGCAGCAGACACAGGAGGTGGGACTATAACCTGTCAAAGGGCCCCCACGGGGCTGTCTACGTGAACTGCCTGATTAGCCAGCTATGCCCCACTGGATGGGCCTGAGAGAGCGTGACCGATTGCCCCTCATTTGTCTCAATCAAAGGCCTGGTGTTGGCGGTTACACTACCCACTGTGTCAGAAATCCCCCCCAAGAACCTCCTGACCTTTGTGATAATAGATCGTTTGAACATTTCTGAAGAAGGTGTTCATGAGGATGTCTGGATCTATCTGAGAATACAAAGCCAACATTATTTAAGGCACATTCAAAATGAAGAAGCTTATTGGCAGAATGTACTTTTTCCCTAAAAGAAACGATTAAGGTTTTCATTTAAAAGTGTCTCTACAACGCATAACATTTCATTCCTATATCTAACTTCTGCTAAGAGAGCTATAGATCTGCAATACGGTCAACACACAATCTGTAACTGCTACCACAAAGCCGATGTTTTTGTTCTGATATATGTGATATTTTTAAATCACATGCAACACAGTGCATCGCATTGCCATGTATAACCAAGACTACGCCGTCTCTCTGCTTCAACACAAAACACTGAAAATCATCACACTTCTCCAAACTTTTGAAAAACAGTTATGAAGTATATTCAACACTGCCTAGTTCTTTCAGAGTAAACAAACAAGAAAACTCTGGGCTGTTTATGGAGTCTTAACCACTGAAAATTTTGCAAGGTACGAGTTATACAACCCTGCAGCCGACCATCGGGTTGATAGCACTCAAAACAGACCAACCTTAACAAAACAAACGGCCAGACATCGCCACCCTATCTACGCTCAGCCCAGCATCTGAAACTCTACACGTGTAATCGTGTTACATAAAAGTGGATTCAAAAGCGTAAAAAACCCCGGGGAAAGTGGTCAGGGTTATATAAAGAACCAAAAAAAGCACATCAAGTAACAGATTTTTGCTGCCGAGTTAAACTAAGGGGACGTAAAGTTTTACATTTCGAGTTTGGCGTTTCACCCATCTGTTCAACGCATTAGGCGAGTAATTCTTTGCTGGATTTTCAAAGCTGACCAGGCTTTGCCCAGAAATGCACCCCACCCCCCAAGCTCCCTCCCCCAAACACCTCCAAGCAGCCTCAGCAGGTGTTTGCTGGAAGTGGGCTCGTCTTACTGCCTCGGATGCTCCTTGCCAAAGGCCACGTGCTGCGCAAACAGACTCCACATCGCACCGTCGGCGAGAGAGCCAGCCGTGAACTTGGGATGACCCTGGGCGGGTTCATCTGAAGGCCAGTTCCCATTCTCTCACAGTCCTTTGTGTATCTCTGTGTGTGTGTGTGTGTGTGTGTGTGTGTGTGTGTGTGTGTGTGTGTGTGTGTGTGTGTGTGTGCG